CCGGCGGTCTGCACCCTCAGAGTGCCAGCCGGGAGTGTCTCTCAATTTTTCAGACTTTCGTGTGGGGGGAAGTAGCGCAAATTCGGAAAAGGGATTCAGAACGTTTTGCCCTCCACGTATTATTTTAGCGCTTGGGGTCACTGTAACTGACAGCCTGACTGGGGCCAGGTGCTGGGTGTGTTCAGCCTACCATTCCCATAGCATGGCCACAGCAGCCTCTTCTTTATAGACTGACCTGGGCTAGGCATGGTATTATCCAGTCTGGCCCAAGCTCCTATGGCACTTACCGCGGGAGTAACATCACAAAAGGATAGTAGCGAGTGAGCAGTCAGTTGCACCTTGGAGGAGAGATTGATGTTTCAGACAACTTGCCTGAAGCTGTGCTGCAGCGGGTCCTGTCACGGCAGCCCAAGAGCGATGGGCTGACTCGTCCCCTTGAGCACTGGGCCTCACTGGGGGACACGCTTTGCTTCTGGTCAGCATCACCTGGGGACACGTCATAGTGTTGCAGAGCAAACGCATGGGATACAAGCCTACCTTCAAATGGCCAAAGGCAGAAGATTGCATATATTTCTATTGGTGGGTGAACTTGGGTGGTTTTGCTGTGTGGATACTTCCACTGATACCACAGGGACTGGTGAAGATAGGAGACAGAAGGAAAAGAGACATATAGTTTGAACTCTACATTCTATGGGGTTTTTTAGGGAACTTTAATAATTCTGGCTATGTATGTGCACTGTGTCCACTCCCCCCAAAATCCCAGAAATGCTGCAAACTCCAATAGAAACTGCTGTCTGCTGGCTCCTAGTTGATTCCGGAAAGTCAGGCATAAAAATTATTTGGCCTAAATAGATGAACCTGTCACAGGACCTGAGACTGCAACTCAAGGAAAACCCTGAAAGTGAGACTGAAATCAAAGCTAAGAGTTCTATTGTCCTGGTTTATTTTCCTCACTTTGCCGCTGGCCAGTGTTAGCACCTTTGGGAGGTGCTCATCTTTTCTGTTTCTCCACCTGCAAGGCAGTGTTTAGCAATTTATCTCCTCTAATTGAAGAAGAATTGAGTCTTTTAAAAATCTTCACTGTAGCAAATTTGTAAAGACATTGAATAGTTTTTTTGCCTACCCTCTTTCCCTTGGCCTTTTGAAAGATACGTTCTCAGTATCATTGAATACAAGTAGGTTTCCCCTCCCTCCCTATTGCCCTTTCTCTAAGCACACATCTTTCTGATGCTGTTTCAGGCTGGTCTTACTACCTTCTAATGAGGACTAAGGGAAAGTACTCCCTTGAGCAAAGGCATGTCAGCTCCTTGTGGAATGTGATCCTAAGAGCCAAGGGACAGGAAATCAGGCAGGAGCTGAGGCTGGAGATGAAGGCCCTTTCTGAAAAATAAAAATGCTGTGCAGTGCTAAACCACATTAAATCAATTGCAAAGATGAAGTCACCAGCAAGTTTATTATTTAAGGTACATTTCCCCCTTGTGATGAAAACCAGGGGCGGGGAGAGGGATAACATTTTAGTCTCCTAAAAAATCTGAATGTTAAATCTGTTAACAGTCTTGTCCACTGAAGGCTAGGAATAACCCCTTAGCAGTTGCACAAACTGAACTAGCAGTTTTCTTAATTGGAAATGTAACACAATGTACAATTCTACAAAAAGAAACTACCCAAGTTAGACATCTAAATCTGTTTATTCCCTGGATTAAATTTAATAGATGAGGTCACATCTGTATACACTATTAAGTGTTCCAAGAAAGATGCAGAAAAGATGTAGCTATCTTGAGGATACCTCTGATTGCCATGTTAATGGATCATTCACAATGCTCATTAGCCCCCTGTTGCTTTCATTTAGCATAATGAGCCACAGTGAAATGTATTTATTTTTTGATTAAAGCAAATGGTGCTGACAGCAGACATGGCTAGGGGGGAGGGTAGCACTTTATCTTGGGAAACATGCTATAGAGCAAAACAGTATGGGAATCCCAAATGCACAGGGCCTTGTGGCCCTGACCAGCCTCAGTCAGCTCTTACTGCTCTCCCTCAGGACAAGGAAGCCAGGAGCTGAGGGTGATCACAACACAAGCCAGGCAAAGACCTCACCAACAGGGCACAGTTTGACTGCACCAGAGAAAAGCAAGCAGAGCAGTGGCACCAAGAGGTCCAGCGACCATCAGGCACGACATGGTAACAAGCCATTTCCGAGGTCAGTCCAGGAAACCCAAACAGCAATTCAGGAGCAGAACTAGAGCAAGGACACCTACAATTCACCTCTGTCATCCCAGCATAAGAAAGACATGGACCCGCTCAAGCGGGTCCAGAGGAGGGCCACAAAGATGATCAGAAGGCTGGAGCAGCTCCCCTATGAGGACAGGCTGAGAGTTGAGATTGTTTAGCCTAGACAAGAGAAGGCTCCAGGGAGACCTTATAGCAGCCTTCCAGTACTTAATGGGGGCCTACAGGAAAGATGAGGAGGAACTCTTATCAGGGAGTGTAGGGATAGGACAAGGGGTAATGGTTTTAAACTGAAAGAGGGTAGATTTAGATATTGGGAAGAAATTCTTTACTGTGAGGGTGGTGAGACACTGGAACAGGTTGCCCAGAGAGGTTGTGGATGCCTCATCCCTGGAAGTGTTCAAGGCCAGGCTGGATGGGGCTTTGAGCAGCCTGGGCTAGTGGAAGGTGTCCCTGCCCATAGTGGGCCAGGGAGAGGGAAGGGGCTGCAACTAGATGTTTTTAAAATCCCTCCAAACCATTCTACTTAAAGACCGAGCTTAAATGAACTCCCCATCAGAAGGTGTGGGTGGAAGCCCCAGCTGAGGCTGGTCAGGGCAATTAAAACCTATTAGTGCAGTCAAGGACCTGACAACTGATGGATAGGAGGTCAGACTTTGGGACAAAAGGAAGGATGCTGATTTTTTTCAGGTGTGTCAGAGATGAGGGTCAGCACAGGTGTAAATCTTTGTGAGAAAAAGTAAGGACAGGATAATTAAGTGATTGTAATTTTTTTTAAATGAGGATAGAATTTAAATACATTGGAGTGTTTTCCTGTTTATATAATTATTTTATATTAGGTTAATTACAGTAGTTTAGGAAATTACTGCTCATTTGTGACTAAAGCAGTATAACTCACCACATGCATGCTCTTACTCTGCCAAAATTGAAGAATAAACTCACCATCATGATAAGTCCAGACATTCATTCTGCAGGTTTACAGTGGTTGCCATTGTACCTCAGCTGTGACCTTGCTTTCAGCCATCCACTCAACTTAAAATTCGTATAAAGTAAGGCACTCTCAAGAAAATACTCCATGCATGAGCAGCATCTTGTTCATACTCTCACTGCTCCCTCAAATTTCAGCAGAGTAAAATGTGTATTTAGAATAATGAAGACACTTTGAATAATACTAGTATTCGTAACCCTCAAGCGAGAGAGAAACTGGAGTACAGTCAGCATAGTACTGTGAGTTAAATTCCTATATCTAGGTTTGCTCTTACTATTAATGTTTGCATACAGAAAAACTTCTTACTCTTCCAGTCAATGGGTACCCATTTGGTGGTATTTTCTAAACTCTGCTCAGTTATTCTTGTTAGTGCTTTAGGGTATTAACAAGTTAAATTAAACATTGGGCATTTTAGAAGAATGACACATTAGATAACAATAAACTCATGCAGCTCAAGAAAAAAACAGATTCGCTGACCTCTTCTTACTCTTAAGAAGAGGTTTGGACTAATTGCAGTGTGATCAGAGGACTGCTCAGAGGGAGGAAAGCATACTGCTCTTCTTCCAAAATGTAGAAGGCCTGATTGCGTAAGAGCACAGTACTTCAAGTTTCAAGGACAGCTGAGCATACTCAGCAGTTTGCAAAACCAGACCTAATGTTACTAGTGTGTTAAATGGAATCTTTCAGTTTTCTTAATCAAAAATGTCCAGGAGTGAGTGAGCACCTGTCAACAGGGAGTCCATCTTACACTGAATCTCTTTTAATACTGCTTGTGGAAGATGTTATATACAGTTTTGTTTGAAATAATGGTTAAAACAGCTATTCTTAAAATACAGTATGTTCAGGATTGTGGCACATCAGGTTTTACATTAGATTCTTTTGCTTTTTATTGTATGAATGCTGAATTTCACTTCTACAGGCCCCTGTTTTGCTCATTTGCTTTCTAGAATGAAGAGAATTCAGAAATCACTGGAATGATTTCTGTGGTATGGAGTAAGTCTGTGTGATTCCAGCTTGGTATTTTCCATGTGTCACTGAAAGTCAGTGTCCTCTGCAGCTTGTACTCCCAGCATCATGCTGTACAGGGACTAGAAGAAAAAAATATTCACAAGTAACATTACAGTGACTTAAATTTGCATCCGAGTTTTCACTGGAGGATACGTTCTGCTAGCACATTGAATTAGGCTTGTTACGGTGATTTTAAACTAAAGAGAAAAAGGAAAGCCATCCATTAAAGGACTCAATCTCATGCTAATTTGTACCTGCTATTTTAATTAGATGTTGTGTAGGGCATAAGTAGAATTTTGCCCCTGAGCACTTGTGCTCTGGTCCATGAGAACTACAGATCATTCGCAGAATGAGATACTTGGAGCTGATCCCTT